CCCCCCCCCCCAAAAAAAAGACAAGCACCATATATACACAAAACAAACAAAAACAAACCCCATCCCCAACTCAATAATCCTGCCAATTACTATTCCAAGGCTGATTAGTCTGCTTCCCATCCTTCCCATGAATATAATCACTCGCCAACTCCTCCTGATCAACCCCACAATGCATATTCCCATCCCGGCCCGCAAACCAACCCAGCCCATACGTCTTCCCGATCCCCGCGAGTCGCCGCACCATCTCATCGTTATTCATCTTCTCCGTGTCGACGAAGTCGTACAGCATGCGGCTTTGATGGATGAATGCGAGGACGCTGGAGATGGACGACGGCTGGCGCGGGAGGAACGGGTGGCGACGACGCATGTAGACGACGATGGCGACGCCGATGAGGAAGGTGAGGATGAAGAGCGCGAGGGCGAAGGAGACCCAGAAGGAGAGGAGGGTTTCTTCGCCGCTTTTGAATTGGGATTTTTTGCCGGCTATGAAGGAGGTTCCGTTGACGTTGCCGAATGAGGATGCGAGGACGGTGAGGATCTCGGCGAGGACGGACCCCAGACCGACGAAGAAGACGGTGAAGTGCCCGTTGAGGAAGGCGCGGATGGGCATGTATCCGAATGCCATGCCGGTGTAGTCCAGCGTGAGGACCTTGGGCGAGGCGTGCCGCTTGGAGAGGATGTAGAAGGGCTCGATCATGCGGACGTCCGTTTCGAGGGTGCCCCATGCGAGCTTGACGGCGACTGCGTAGACGGTGAGAAGCCAGGGGGCGTTTTCGAGAACGCGGTTGGCTTTGTCTTGGAAGAGGAAGACGGGGATTATAATCATTAGGACTAGCATGGAGATGATGAATGGGATACCAGCTGCCAGTCGGAGCATGAAAGGCTGGGGATTTGGGTCAATCTTCTTTTGGTCGTATTTGTCTTGCTCTTCTTTGCTGAGTAGATTGTCCTGGTCTGGCGCGAGAGATGAATTTCGAAGGGTGTAGCGATGTTTCTTCAACTTGTTGTGAATCTCTTCTGGCGTCGCCGTATCCATGTCTTTGAAATCCATTAGAATATGACTTTTGTTTGCCATGGCTGCGATGCCAGCAATACCTTTCACATCTGCCACAAGTCCCGATCGTCGTTTCTCGAGTTGGAAAAAGAGCACACATCCGATGGCGGCTACAATCAAAAGCTGCGCGGTCAATAGTCGTGACCAGACAGGGTCGAGTTGTATAGTCTTCATAATATCAGGTTTTGCATGTCGAATCTGCCGTGCGGGCTGAATTGTAATAGATGCAGACTGGATTGTAGGGACCAAGGAGACGGCCAGGAGAGTAGCCAACGAGGAAGTAGCAACGGCATGATGTCTCAATCTCAATGCCTTGAGTGGTCGAAAGAAATCGAAAAAGGTGATATAGTCAACATTCAGGGACTCAGCAGCTAACGCTCCACCTTCCGTAGATAACTGATAAAACGGCTCCAATCGTTTAACTTCAAAGTCTGTAAACTGCCACAAGATCCCAAACGTGACAGCGACAATAGTTGGCATGTATTTGAATGTAAAATAGTCCCAATTCGCCAGGTGACTTGCGTCAACAAACGAGAAAAGCGGTTCCTTTGCGGATTTTCGATACAAGACCTCCTGGACCACCGCTAATAATACAGATACGACGATAAGAGCGGTAAGGAATGGCCAACGCATGGATAATGGCTTCCAGTTAGGTTGAGGATAGTATATTTCCGGCTTCAAGGGCATTGTTCTCGAATTTTTGAATGATACGAACGTAGTACTACGCGTAGATTCCCCCATACCTTCCATCATACTCAGATCCATATCAACCCTCGGTTCGTCATCATCGTGGACCTCCTCTGCGATTACTTCGATGATTTTCCCACTCTTGTTTGCCTCCGATTGAGCTAGTCTTCGAACTGTGGCTGCTCTCGTAATGGGACCTGATAATGAAAACTTGCGCACTATCGGGGTCGTTGGCATTGATTTGGATCCGTTTCCCAAAATTTGGGTACCAGTAAGCGTTGCATCAGGTGTGAATCCAGCACCTAGGCCTCCAGTCAATTGACCCCCTCTTTCTTTTTGATGCATTTCCTCCCATTCGGCTTCACTCTTGGGCATCATGCCCATAGGGCCAGTAAACGAAGAAATATCAATAGTTACTCCACCATCATTGACTTCGTCTTCCTCGGGTAAATCTGAGTAGACTGGGTTATTAAATGACAGTGGCATCGCGTTGTTTAACAGGCCCATATTAATCTCCTCATTTTCGGGTATGGAACTTCCCCTCCCAGAAGAAATTGACGAGTTCTTTCTTGAATGCTTTCGCGATAGATTTTTGCTTGGAAGCGAAGGCCTCCTTGCGCGCTCAGGAGAATACGCTGTATATGATGTCGTGGCTCCAAAACCTCGCCTAGAAGGGGTCGACGGAAATTCTATCGAGGACGGAATCGATCCTGATCGTAGAGTGTTTGGTAATGAGGCCGATATCTTATTTAAAGTGGATGTGCTTGCTGTCTTTTGTACGCCAGATCCCTCGATGTTAGATAGGTGGTCATGACTGATGTTGTTTGCTGTTTTTGAGGAGAGTGGACTAAACGGTGGAGGTGGCTCTTCACTGCTGGACATGTTGCTCATCGCTGACACGAACGAATAGTTGCTGTTGAATTCGGGGCTTCCTGACATATCGCTGATAGCAGATCTCGAAGATCCTTTGTGAGTTAAGTCTCGAGGTGTGTGTTGATGCTCATGACTCATATTAGGATTCCACTCAGGAACACCGCTTCCACCATAATGGGCCATACCTATGAACCCGTTGTTGACAGATGGGAATACGTGGGAGTGTACTCGTATGAGGGATTCAAACTCGAAGTTGTATTACGTGACTGATCTTTTGGGGAAACCAATTGTTTGCAAACTGCCGGTATATAAGTATTAATTAAACAACGTAAAAAGTAGCCAAAAAAAGAATTAACGGTTCCAGAACTCACGAATGGAATTCTCGAGGGTATCAGTTGATATATAAAACCGTTGAACCAAGGAAACCAGGACCGGGGAGAAACCTATGCCCGGGGCGATTTTTCCAAGCTGGTGCAAGCCCCAGCCCAGGTCTTTTCTCCAAGGACCTGGTTCGTCGAATCGCGTAAATACGCAAGGGACCGTAGGGTACAGAGTCTTGACAGTAGAGAAAGACGGGTTGCCGAGTAATGCTTGTTTCATCGACGAGTGGACATTTCTGCCATCAAGAGATCAAGCAGCGGATGTAAGTAGGTACAGTACGGAGTCCATAGGTAGACATCAGGAAGGATTTCAGCAAGAGGAAGGAATCCGGCAAGCTTTCACCGTTAACGCAGAAACCAGGCGAACACGGACCTGAGCTAGCTGTCAACCCAACCCCCCTTATCTGTTACTTTGTGCCGCTTCTGCAGCCACTTGGAAGTAGAAAAATGGACCCCAATACTTGGGTACTTCCAATACAGGTTGCCACGCGCCAATCATGCTGCAGCTACCACAAGCTCGAGAGACAGGATATAGAATTGAGGCACAGATACTTGAGTAGACCAATGAAATCGGAGATGAGCCCACCACGTAGGACCGAAGAAGCATAAAAATAAACATTGGATATGTCGTGCCACCCACACTCGTGGGCCATCAATGCCATCGCTCATGGAGGAGGAGGAGTTGATGAACTCGGCAAGTATTGGTAGGGCTGATGAGGATGCAGGTGGTGTCACTGATGTGCCATGCCAGCGACATGTGCTCTCGGCAAAATGCTCGAAGGGAAGTAAACACGGAGTAGGGACTGGAAAGGCAGTGAATGCACCTGCAGATTCCAACCCGTTACCGAAAGTCTTCAGTTGCAGTAGAGTGGACACGCTTCCAGCAAGGAGTCCCTCGAGTGGGTGGTGTTTTCGGAGCAAGCCATGAATGAATGATCTACGCGCCAGCTCGACGGGTCAACGCAAGCGTGCCAAGACACATGATACGACACTCCCAGTCACCAGGTCAGCCTCTCTCTCCTCTCAGCCAACACCGAGACTCGCTTACCTAATCCTGTACCTACCGCCACCGTCTTCGCTGCACGCCGTCGATCCACTATGCCCTCTAAACGTCCCCGTCATCCCACCAGGAAGAAGAACACCAACATGACACCAGCTCTAACAGTCGATACCTCTCCTCCGCGACCCTCCAAAACCCCCGCATCGACAGCATCACAACCCTCACAGCCAGCCCTTGCATCCGCCGTCTCCAGCTCCTTCACGCCTTCAACTTCCACCTCTCGCCCCTCATCACCCTTGCGCCCGCCCGTCTCCCCGCTCACACCCACCCGCGAACATGCCTCCAATCCCTTCGCAACCGCCCCGCGACGAACATACACACACACCCAGGAACCGCAAACCGCGATCCCGCAACCCGCATTGGAACCCATAAAGTATGATGAGAATCCTGATGTGATTGCGCTGAAGAGTACTATTGCGATTCTGCAGATGCAGGCCAGGAATGCGACGACGGATATCCAGATGTTGCAAAAGATCAAGGAGCGGGCTGTTGCGGATCCACACGCTTTCACCACTGCGCTTGTGAATGGGGAGTTGGGAAAGGAGGGACCGAGTGTGCCATTGTATACGGACGACGACGACGATGTGGATGAAGAGGACGAGGATGAGAAGACGAATGTTGATATTGAGAATAAGAAATGGCCCAAACTCCCCAAACCCCAGAATGTTGTTCGGACACCACCAATAAACTGGACTCAATATGCAGTGGTTGGCGACCCGCTGGACAAATTACACAATGATCAGGTATCGAGACCATCGGAAGGTAAACCACAGAAACTCGGTCCAGATGGCGCCTTGGTATTTGGTGGCGATGGGGTGAGGAGACCTGCGGATTTTGGCATTGCTGCGCCATATTCGCCATTGAGAGACAGACTCGACAAGAAGAAAGGAAAGAGATAGTGAGGGTAGAAAAGGGTGCGGATTCATAGGGTTGTAGAGTTGTATGGTTATGGCTCCGGGTTATCACGGCATGGTTACGGCGTTTATGAGATAAAGAAATTATGAGGCAACGATACATTTGCATTCAATAGGCGCTGATTGCTAACTTTACTTGGGTTATGGCGGGTTAGGGCTGTGGTTGAATTGAAAACCACTGATGTATGAAATAGAAAATATAATCACAAAAGTCCGTCTCTCTACCTACTGCTTATTCACGATACAAGAGCCATCTCCGAGTCGTCCAGACGATTTGCGAGGTACGAGTTAAAGAAGCCCTGGCGACTCTAGTAAACCAGTTTACTACCACCTCACCCAAGATCAACAGTTCAATTTCGCAATTGTCTATCCCCCCCTGGGCTACACCATATTGTAAACGTTGTACCAAGTACAGAGTGAGGGACTATTGGTTTGACTAGAGAGTCCAGACAAAGTGTTGATATAAAGGGAATAGTATTGTATTCGACTATCAGATGTGTAGTTCACCGAGTAAAGGTTGTACGTGCTCGCTATAATATAGTAGTGCCAAGGCGATGGCGCCCATGCTAGCCCTAAGGCTAGCTTGTACGTACTATAGCTTATACCGAGTATTCACTTAATGTTCGTATAGCGATACTAGATTTACTCTTAAAAAGAGAAGTAAATACTTAGTACTAAAATAACTAATTAGCTAAACTAAATCTATTCTATTCTATATCTCTCGTCTAATTAGAATCCTTAATTCCTTACTTATTAATCCGAATTATTATTAGATTTATTATCCTTATTATTACGTTTAACCTACTCCTTAATTATAATATTAATCTTATTTAAATCGATTAATTTTATAAGCGCCTAGTGTGACGGAGCTGGATTTCATTTGACAGGATTTCATTTGACAGGATTTCATTCGCTTGGCCAAGCACGTGACGAGACTTGGCATTGGAACAACTTAAATAACTTCGCTCCTTTCAGATTCTCTTCTCTCTTTAGTTTGATTTCTTCGTACCTACGGTTTTAGTTCTAGCAATTGATTCAAAAGCTGTATACACTTTATCCTTTGTTGGCATCCGTGACACCTAGTAGGGCTTTAATTTTGTTATAGCGTTAGTAGGATTCAAATCTCCCTTAATCTATATAATATTATAAATCTCTTGTTATTCGTATACTTATTATAAAGCTATAACGTTAATTATAAGACGCTTCTCTTTAGTAGTACTAAGTTTTATTAGGTATTTATAAATTAACTTTAAATCTATATAAACAGTAAGATTAATATATTATCTAAGGATAGCCTTAATTATTAATTTAATTACTTTAGTAGTATTAAAACCTTTACTTAAAGCGTATAGCTTAGTGTCACGAATCACGTGTTAGCATGTGACGAGTGAAGACCAGGCGGCGTCCTGACAGGTTAAGCACTATCATGCTCTTATAGCGAATAGGGATCGGCTAGACTAGCTAAGCGATCCAAGGATTTCATTATAGTCACGTGACGGATCTTTGGATCTGGATGGATCTTGGGGATCCTAGGATCCAACCAGATCCATGAGCAAGAAGGTTCTATATAACACTGGCATGTCTGCCATTAGATAGGAGCTTCGTGCTCAACTTAGTTATCAA